TATTCACAAATGGTACTAGTTACATTTTAGACAAAAGTTACACATTTCTTTAATGCTCACACATTGGGTACTCATTAAAAACACAATCATGTCACTGTAACTTAAGCGGTTTCAGAGCTTTCACAAGCAATTCGTAGTTCAGCCTCCACCCTGGCAGAAGCTGTATTCGTTGAGTTGTATTCGTTGGGATTCCACACTGCCCCAGATCGATGTGTGCGGTGCACTCGCGTGTTCACAGAGCCAAGCTGCTCTTACATGTGGGTCTCAAGGTTCGATATGTACTTTCATGTGCGATCATAGGGTGTCTTCAGAGCGAAAGCGTAACTTTTAATGTTACATTTGAATATTGTTTCCTTCATGTGGATTCTCATGTGTGTTTTCACATGACTCATACAGGACAAGGCAGCATCACACACACTTATATGATTTCTATCCCGTGTGCGTTCTCATGTGTCTCTTCACATGACTCGAGTTTGAGAAGGCAGCATCACACAGATCGCACTTATACGGTTTCTCTCCCTTGTGCGTTCTCATGTGTCTCTTCATATTACTCAGAATGGAGAATGCGGCTTCACACAGATCGCACTTATACGGTTTCTCTCGAGTGTGAGTTCTCATGTGTATCTTCACAGCCCCTATCGTCGAGAAGGCAGCATCACACAGAACACACATGAGAACTCACACTGGAGAGAAACCGTATAAGTGCGATTTTCACATGACTCGTATTTGAGAAGGTAGCATCACACAGATCGCACTTATATGGTTTTTCTCCCGTGTGAGTTCTCATGTGTGTCTTCATATTACCCAGAGTGGAGAATGCGGCTTCACACACCTCGCACTTATACGGTTTCTCTCCAGTGTGTGTTCTCATGTGTATCTTTACACTACTCAGATTGGAGAAGACAGTATCACACAGTTTGCATTCATATGGTTTTCCCCGGGAATTAATTCTCACGTATTCCATCGTGCTTCAGGGAAAGCTGCCACGTCCTGGTCACAGACGTCAAGTATCTACCTTGTCCGGGGCTCAAATGACATCCTCGTATTTTGCTTCGGAGACGGCCTTGTTACACTAACACTCGTAGAATTAACGTCCTATCTAGGTTCTCCTCAAAATTGCTAAAGAAAATACAAATAACTCTGTATTGAAAGCCGCGTTACAGGGGTAAAAATTTACTTTTGAACGCAGGAGTCCAACGGACCCCTACCCTCAAAAATAAGGAGTCCGCAGTCTGGGGTTCAAAATTAAAGATATTAAAAATAACGCATGTGCTTATTTTTAAGATTCATGTGGGTGCATGTTTGCCAAATTTGGACATTTGCTGAAAAAATACGGTAATTCCACGAAACCGTGCTCTGGAACAAACTAGTTAATATGGCAGAATTTTCAGGGAGTCACACAGACTCCTGAGTATGTCCAATCAGGGAGTCTGACAGTAAATCATGGAGTATTTAACTCAGATCTCCCGTTAATTTGGCACCCTGAAGTTAACATATGTTTGTAACGTGTTATATAATATACAATTTAGATATAAGGCAAAGATATAGAAGTACACAACAAAATGTGTTCAACAAACAGATCATATATTCGCCAGTCTCTAACCAAAACACCACAGAGCCACGTACGTACGTACACACGTAATAGTTCCACCCTTGTAATAAATTATTCATCTTTGTCATTACATATCCAGTCGCAAACACTTGACATGCCACCCTTTCATTAGAATTGTCTGAAGTTTGATACTATAGAATTATATAGTTTTAGAGCAAGACAATCTGTATGCATACACAAGTACATATAAACAATACCTTTTTAAGTCTGTTTCCCCCTTCAAGATCGTTTTGCGTAAGTTCCTTGGAGTCAGTGTGTCCGCAAGCAGCAATGTAGGAGCCCAGTCAGTATGTGAGCGGTCATACAGGTAAGTTGGTTTACCTACAAGAAAAAAACATAAATCTTTGTTTATTATTACTACAGCGACTCCCCGACTTACGAACAGGTTCGGTTCCGAGCGCTCGTTCGTAAGTCAAACATATGTACGTACGTATACAGTATTGTACAGTAGTGTAGTATACTGTATATGAACGTGTGAACATCGAATAACCTAGAAGTGTACATAGTGTAAACATATATATGTAAACACAGGAGTTGGCGAGTCAAAATCAGGGGGCGATTGTGTCTTTTTATTCACCAATATTGACATTACACACTAATGAATTTCAGAGCAAATTGTTCGTATCATCGAAAGTTCGTAACTCAAATGTTCGTAAGTCGGGGAGTCTCTGTATACTAAATTCTTTAATGATGGGCCATTTTCTTTTCTATGCACAGGCGTGTTTTTATTCCATCAAATGCAGCATTTCCATTGACATTAATTTTGTGATCACCCATCAGACAGTCATGTGTCAGCCAATAGAGGGTTCCGCGTCTTGCACTAAAAATAGCAATATTACCTACAATCCCGTGCCGCCGGCCATATCGGTTCCAAAAAGAGCGAACACGTGTTGCATGTAATCTGCCGATCTGCACAATCAACCGATTTTACATTGGCTATAGTGTTATTATTGCAATAGATATTAGCAGTAAGTGGATCCCGATTTTGCAGACAGGTCAGTTTGGTTTTGGTGTGCTAGAATTCGAGATGATTGTGCCAACCCGGTTAATGGGCGCCGGTTTTATAGGGTGTTGCAGGCAGGTATTCAGCGTGGGTTGTGTTAATTGCTAGTTCGATGAGAGGCCCGGTTTTGCAAGCAGGTTTACCATCGTGGGTTTTAGGTTCGATGATGCTGCCACACAGTCGGCAGATTCGTAGATTGAGCAGATCAGAAGATTGCACGCAACACATATGTTCATAGACTAGAGTTTGTTTACATCGTGAGAGAAATTTCACCAATTTTACTGCATCTACTCTAGCTATCAAACGCAGCTTTTTATAATAGCTAGTGTATGCACGTTTGTCGACTGTCTGTAGTGTACGTAGTATGGATAAGTACTTTGATTCGTTAGACAACGTAGCCAAAGCACGCTATCTCGAGAAAATTGCGTGCATTGGAAATCGAGACCCGTACCAAATAGACAATGCCGAATGGAGTGAGGACCTTGGATCTCGTGAACTACTTAACATTCCAGCCGAGTCCATTTTATACTCTCAAGGACTTTCAGAACTAAAAAAGCCTGGATGCTTACGATCGACGGTTCTGCGGTTGGGTTAGTGGTGTATCAGCTAGTCTACATCTATCATGTGAACAGTGAGAGTCCCATCTACGTTATCCGAGCACGTGTTATGCACTCCCAGTCTCT